TTAATTTGTGTGCAGATCAAAGAAGAATTTTTCGGCTTTCAAACTCAGAAATGCTCAAATCACTTTGCACAATTGCATATAAAATATGGGCAGTGCTGTTACTGTGCTGTCAAATCTGACAGCCATTCTGTACTCAGCAATATATCAGACACCATCCAAATGCAACCATACAAATGTCACCTCTTGCCGGTGGAACTTTATAAATGAAGCAATATTAATCAATTAAGGGACATTGGAGTGCATGCAGAAGCAGCCAAGTCTCCCTGAGTATTACAATGGGGAGTTCTGGGTGGGCAATCAAGTTTAAACTGCAGAACTGCCAAGGCACACGGATTCTCTGTATGATATAGCGGATTTCCGGTCACACACTGAGGGAAGCCCAGAGACTTTTGCCCATGGACAGACAAAAGTCAGTTTTGCTCCTACACCACTTATCTATTATATGCTATTATACCATTTACCAAATCTTTTAACTTCTGTTCAAATAGACTTCTCTGATTCGGTATTAGGGAGATCATGCACACATTTCCACTTCGAATTTCTAAAGGCAGCATTTTCATATGAAATACCACAACATGGAGTGATATCCCTATCATAGGCTGCTTGGGAAGGGAGTCCTGTGCAAGCCGCTGAAGCAGAAATGGAGACCCCCAAAAACACAAGCTAAAGTGAATCTGAAGAGTCACTAGTCACATTTTAATTACCTATTTATCTAGCAGCAAATAGATCAGAAGCGTATAAATACATCTTGCCCTTTTATAATTTATGAATTTGCTATGCTTAATGCAAAGATATTCTATCTAAATTATCTCCTTGTTTGTCATATCAGACTTCCTATACCTACAGTTTTAGGAGTTTCCTTTCACAGAGGTGAAGAAAGTGCACAGTATTACATATTCCTCAGAGGAGATGCTTTTCAGAGGGGTCAGTGCACACCAAATCAGATTCTTTCCACCCTTGCCTTCATACACTCCAGGGTTTATAAATTGCTTACTGCTCTAATGATGCCAACCTTTTGTTATAAACCAGCCCCAAAGAAACACAATAAAGATTCCTACATGTTGCTGTTTAGAATGGCTGCCATCCTCCATATCTTCAAAGGCACCAAAGCTCAACATGGCCAGCACTTCCTCAAAGTTGTTAACACAGAGGAAGACGCAGCAATTACCTTCCAGGAGCACAAAGTTGTTCTCAGGAGAAATGGCTGCAATTCTGTGGTACCTACTCAGCTTGTACAAAGGCCTACACAGCTGAGACTGAAAAGACACATGCAGTAGGAGACAGAAGCAGAGCACTCCAAGAAGTTGGCTTCTTGATTGAGGTTTGTCTTTGGCATTGATAAAGCAGCTAGTCAGACTGACAGATTCTGAAAGTGAATGAAACAACCATAAACCCGTATCTAATTTTCTGTAGCACAGACTGGTACAGAGGATGTGTCAGTTTGTGCTGGTGAATGGCTGTTAAGGGTACCCTGAGAGACACAGATTGTGCTATAAACCCTTGTCAGCCAAACAATCAGTAAAGGCAGATCCTGTCCCAATGCTATCTCTGTCTCTCACAGTATCCTCATCTTTGGATAGGCACAAATAACTTTCTTCCTGCCTGGCAGAACACTGTCTACCACACCCTGTTTAGGAAGTATAAAGGATCAGTACCAGTGGCAGTAGGCATTAATAACAGAAGTTGGGAATAGTAGAGACTGAACAACAGCTCCCTACCCTAAAGCAAAAGTCACCTTGCTCTGCAACTCAGGAAAAGGCAGAGGAGCCAGATCTTGCAAATTAGTGATTGCATTTTAGGCCTTGCAGGAAAAGCTCACCTTAAAAAGAGAAACAACAGCCACTGCATCCCATGATTTCAGTCATGAAATCTACCTAGGGTCTGTAGGATACCTTTAGGTCTGAGCCTTCTACAGAATGCTGTTTACCATTTCAGAGTGCCTTGAAAGATTCTCTGACCTGGACTAGAGAAATCAGCATTTCTCCTCATTGCCTCCCAGCGATTCCAGTCTTTCTGCCTACAGATTACGGAGCAGGCAGTGGCAGAGAGCATGGTCCACATCTAAGGGAGGACCTGGCACAGGAAAGCAATGAGGAGAGGAGACATCTGGGGGAGGATTGCTGGGATCTTGGCCAGAAGTCATGTCCTCAGACAGCAGGAAGGAAAGATCACTAGAATACAAAGCAATTAGCTTTGGCTCTTTGAATAACTAATGATTACTAACTAAGTAATGATTCTATTTAAGGAACTGCTTTTGTTATACTTACTGGAGAATACAGAGATAATTGACAGGATGCATGCAAACAATTCAGAGCAGCTCCAAATAATTCCAGACATTTTTTTAATTTTGGAGATGCTGGTATTTTAAGCAATACTTAACAAATGAAAATAGTCTGCTAAGCCACAGAAAGAGATTTTTAGGATTTGGTAACTGTCAGCAAGATGTCTTTGCAAGTAAGTGGTTCAAGTTATTTGGAACAAATGATAGAGAAGGTGAGATCCTGATACTTCCTTCAAGGGAAGGTCACAGGAAACTAGAGGCTGGTCAGCCTCATCTCAGTACCTGGGAGGTGACGGAGCACCCAGTCCTGGAATACATTTTAAGGGACATGAACGACAAGGAAGTTCAATCAAGAGTATCCAGCACTGATTTTCCAGCGGGTAAATTTTCAGTAACAGATCCAACTCAAGTCTGTTTTGCGTGTGACAGCAACTGGTGATTGATCTCCCCCCATCCTTATCTCAACCCATGAGCCTTTAGCTATATTTTCTCTCCCTTATCCAGTTGAGGAGGGGAGTGATAGAGCACCTGACATCCAGATAAGGTCAAGTTCTTATTTCAGGTAGGGGACACTTTGCTCTGAAAAACTCTCCAATAATTTCAGCATTTGCTACAAAGAAATACTGTCAAAAGATGTCATGCAACCATTTTCCCCACATATGCTTTGCTTCAGACAATTCAATTTTGTCCTTCAAATAAAATCTATAGAAATATCCTTTAGATATCATAGGTACAAGATGAAATAAGCTTGTCTGTTAGACCAACAGTGAAAAAAAAAAGCCCATATGGAACTTCCAGAGATATCACAATCTGGTATCAACATCATCAGTGAATGTAAATACTAAATAGTGACTCACTGACTGCTACCAATATGTAAACATACTCTATCTGTTGATTGCGTACTTAAAGTCCTGGAAAATCAGTTAAGAGTAAACATTTTAAATTTTACTGGATTTCTTGATATAAAAATTATTGTTCTGGAGATTACTGACCTACTCAGAATCCTGGTTTTCAGAGATACCAAAGTCCCCACTGACTCTCTTAGATTTGAAACAATTATAGTGAAGAAAATTAAAAAACAAACAAGCATATTTTCTCCTATTTTTTAAAAGAAAAGGTTTTTTTAAAAAAATCCTTTTATTTAATTTCCTGCTTATGGCCTAGAACTCATTAACTGATCCTCTTAGCATGTTATATTTAAATTGCATCAAAAATATTATGGTTTTGATACCTCACTGGTAACTGGATTTTAAAGCAGAGCATATATAATTTTGAATAAATTACATCCAAAAAAGTGAAGAACATGAAGACCAAAGTTTCAATAATCAAAACAGACCAAATCAACACCCTAGCTGAGTTCCATTTAATACACTACATGTACCTAAATGACCTTTGTGTTTTATTAGTGCTGAGACAGAAAACAGACCCAGGTTTGAAACAAACTCCATTAGGTCTACACAGGCCAGCATCACTGATAGACACCTATATTTCAGTATTAAGAAAAAAAATATGGCATTGATCAATACCTGCCATTCCCACCTTACTGCAGACACAACCTGGGTGTACCCAGTCCCACCACGCATTTTTTGAACCACTTTCAGTAAGTGCCCCCCGAGAATGACGGGTCCAGGGGGCTCTGACAGACTGAGCACAGGCACTGTGGTTGACAGGAGATCATTGACTCCAAAAGAGGTGTCTGAGGGATCCACTACCTGGCAAACCACATCAGCCCACCTCCCTGCTCAGTGTTTTCGAAGTACAAGACTCAGTACACAGACTGTCAAATTGCCTGCAATTTTACGTGTATTTGACAGTATTTTGCCTCAAAAAAGAGCAGTAGTAAAGGAGAAAACTGCCTCCTTCTTCATCAGCTGCCTCTTGCATGAGGGCACTTCCTGGCAAGCCGCTGGGCATCTGCAGGCAAGGGAAGGGAAGGTTTTGGAAGTCGGTAGGAAGAGGGTTTGAGCTGAGCTGCATGGAAAGTGAGGGAGCCTGTAGGATTAATGAGGTCAGAGTCCTGAGAAGGCACATGGGGCTGTGCCCAGGGTGGCTCAGGCCATGCGGGTTTGCTGAAGGGGAGATGTGCCCAGAGTTAAAAAGCTGCGCTGTATGTGTGTTTGTGTTTAATCTTCTCCCATTCTTTCCCTTTTGTTTCTAAATCAAAACCATTCTACGTCTTATTGTTTAAAATGGTAATTTTTCCAGTCCGTTTTTCAGGAAAACTCACTTTTATTGAGAAGGTCGCTTTAAATCCTTCACAGAGTCGGGCTCCACTCGCCCCAGCGCAGTGTTGAAGGCTGAGGTGCAGCTGGTTTTGGTTAAATGCTGAGGCCGGGAGGTGAAAGCGTTCCAATTGCCCAGCAGGCCTCAGGCAGCCCGGTGAGCAGCTGCGGTGAGGGCTGAGCTCTGTGTGGCGGGAGCTGGGGGCTGTGGAGTGCCGAGCCTTTGCCCAACACAGGGCCCAGGGACGTGTGGCCCAGGCGGGGACACTCAGAGACAGGGCAGGTGCTGATGGTTCTGCTGGAAGACCTCAGACTGTCTGTGCAGACTGTGAGGGCAAGAGCTCGGGAAATCTTTTGGCGGGCACCAGCTCGAGCTGGTAGTTGTGTTGCTGTGCCGCGATTAAATTCTTGCACGCATCCAGACGTCTGAAACTCTACTGTGGGAAACCCAGGGAGGAGCCGGCAAGGAAACCTTGTCAGGAGTGGCTCCTGGATGGCTGGACAGGAAAGCTGCCTTAACAATCCTGAGTCACAAACAATTGCTGTCGGACGGGGAATGTTACAGCTGATGTTCGCAATGACACTAAATTCTCGTAAGTCGTTTTCAAGTAAGACCGTGGTACCAGGAAGCTGGGGCTTTTTTTCTGCTAAAAGGAGGCTATGAATTGTCTAGAATAGACTTGAGTACGGTGTTTGGATAATTTTCCAGGGAAATACTGAAAAATAATGTGATTCACTGCATCTTAAGAACTAATTCTGTGGTTTACCACTTTCTGGGTGTTTGCAGTAGTTCTGAGTTGATGGACACAACTTCTGGCTAGCTGGTCTGTTTTGTGTGGTAGCTGGGTCTGCTGCATTTTGCACAGCTGAAGCGATCAGCTATTCTCTTTCAGGAGAGCATGCCCTAAAGGCATTTCATTTTCAGTTAATGGGTTAAAATAGTCTGAACTCACCAGATGGTTTCTTAATCAGGCATCCCTTTCATGCCTACATAAGCCTGTATTGCTGTTGGAACCTTGAGAGACATCCTCAAGACCTGAGTCTGGCTGAATGTGCCAGTATAGTCATAATAGATTTTCATGTAATTCATGGGTAATGAATTATCAATGTTCATTATAATGTTCAATAGCATGGGAGGTTTAGAATTATTATAATTACTTATTTTCTGCTGTGAGATAAGGCTTAGGAAAAGAGCAAAGCAAGCTCAAAACTTTAAAACACACCTAATGTTTGTATTTTGACTCTAGGGCACTAAGAATTAAGTTTACCTGATCTGCTCTCAGGTGAATGTCATATAGCTCAAATCTTAAAGTTGCTCAGGAGTTTTTTTCTTAGATGATCCTAAAGTAAGGTTATCAACAAAGTGTGGTGTCATATGTAAGATTACAAGTCACAGATGCTTCATAACTGCCTTGTTAATAGGGCTCTTTGTAATTTCCACAAAGTCTTATGCTGTTCTTCTGTTTTTGTATAGCTACATTAGATAGAATGAGAACACTACCATCTGTGTGGGGAATCAGACAAAAATTCCCCTGAATCAGTGAGATATAACACTCAGTAGTGCTCTTTAGTCACAAGTCTCATGATATATTACTGGTCTTCATGTGGACCATCACTGCTGTCAGATCCAGAAAGAGTTACCTTGATGCCTCCCAGGTCTGCAGAAGACAGCTGGGAAAACCATTATGTTTCTTTTAAAATCCATTTTCTTTCTAAATATTTTTGATGCTGATACTTAGCAGTACATACTTAGTAATGACGAGAGTACTTAACAAGACATGCTTTAGTAATGACGAGATTTCTTAACCTTCCCTCCATGCCAGTAGCCATGAATGGACATTTCTTTTAGCAGAACCAATAGCAAGACTTACCTAAATCCAGATGCTTCAAAATGGGCCAAATAGGTGGAAAGGCAACATGAAAAGATATTGCGTCTTCACTAAAAATAAGCAATCAAAAACCCAGAGTCAATTTCCATTTGTGTATTCTTATATTTGACTCCATTAAAGAACATTGTTGTAAATATTTCAAAGCCTCAAATGCTCAACAATACCCTGATGTGGTGAATCATGCTTATGTCATTGTTGAGATATCTGTTGAGTTTGGTGCTTGCTGATGAGAATTTAACTACTTTCTGCTGATACTTCAGGATTTAATTTAGCAAGTAGGCACTATTAAAGTGCTAAATCTTGAACACCACACAATATTATTTTCATATCTAGTTAAAAAAATATTGAAAATTATAGCCTTAGTGATAGTAGTACAGTGTAGCAGTACAGACAGTGTCTGAAGCATTTTGCTGCTTTTATCTGTAACTCTGGAAAAAACTTATATGTAGGGACAGGTTTATCACAGTAAGTGTGCCTTCAGTAGTCCAGTGGATCCCTTATTTGACTCATTGTTAGGAAACCAATTGTGGAAGAATGATCATGTAAGTTATTAATGCCCTCAACCCAAGTTATCAGGAGAATGGTCATGATTATCTTGTTTGCTCCAAACAAGTAAACTTACTTTCCAAGTAGGAATCCATTGTCAGGGTTTATTCCCAGCTGCTAGTACCACAAAGCTGCTCACTCACTTCCCCCTGCCTCTGCTCTGCCATGGGATGAGTAGGAGAGTCAAGGAAAGGAAAAAACCATGCAAACTCATGTATTGAGATAACAGCAGTTTAATAAATGAAACAATATAATAATGCTAATTATAAAAATTAATACTGATATTACATTAATAATTAATAATAAAACTCCAGAAAAACCCAACCAAACAAGTGACGCACAATACAATTGCTCACTATCCAATGCCCACCCTGTCCTCAAACAGCAACTGTACCCATCCATATAACTCACTTCAGTTTATATGCTGTTCTGTGGTGTGGAACATCCCTTTGGCCAGTTCAGGTCAGCTGTCCCAGCTGTGTTCCTTGCAGCTTCTTGTGTACCTCCTCACTGGTAGAGTGTGAGAAACTGAGAAATCCTTGACCGAGGGTAAGCACTACTTAGCAACATCCAAAATACTGGTTTATTTTCAACATTGTTCTCATACTAACACAGCACTGTACCAGCTACAAAGGGTGCAACTAGCTGTATCCCAGCCATAACCAGAACACCCATGATGCAGGTGGCCTTAACTGAGTTTCTTAGTTTATCTTCGAGTTGCCAACATGCTGCTGTAGAAGAGTAGAAAACCTCCATCTCCCAGCAGCAGCCACCCCACTGCTCTCAGTTGTGAGGAGAAAGGTCAGTCGGGTTTAGCTGTTACAAAAACTGCTGGAAAACACCATTTTTCCTCTCTCACCTGTGTTCATCATCATTGCAAACAGAACAAGATAGAGGAAGAGGCAATTAGCACTGACAAAACCAGCAGAAATGTTTTCACAGTTATTAATGTACTTTTGCTGAGTATAACACTTTGTACCTTGCAGCCCTCTGCAGAAAACCTGCCTGTCAGTATAGGCTGTAATAAATGGGTATTCTCAGATAGCCATGAGTGGCTACAAACAGTTCTTTCTGTTGTCTCCCATTGTATATAAGGCTGCTAAATATCTTTCCAACAAACTGCTAAGTCTTTTCATTGCTTGACAGAAATGGAGGATAATAAACTGAACATGAAGTTTTCATTATATGGTAAATGATAGCCAGTGAAAAATGCTGCAGAGCAGTTTCTCATCAGTCCATTACAAGTATATCACATATCCTTTGTTACCTGTGCTGCCTTCCGATACAGTTTCAAATCCAGAACCAGCCTTTCAGCAGATTCTTTTATCTGAATTCAGTATTCAGAAAGCTCTGGCAATAGGCTGTAATCCCCAGCAATGCTCTTCTACCAAATTGGCAGCCTTTTTGATAAGCTGACATTATACCTCAATGAGCTTACCTGAGAGCAAGAGAGGACTGCTCTAGTGCTCGCTGCTTGTCACGCATTGTGTGCCAGCATTCACCTCAGCTTTCCTGGTACATTTAATGGTGTTCATTAAACACCAGCTCTTTAAACAAGAGCCCCACTGCTGCATCTTTCTCACCTTGGGGAAGAATGAGAAATTGAATCAATACCTGGTAGATGTGTAGTCTTGTTTTGCAGTGCATTACTGGAAGAAAGCAAGATCATAAGTGTGATACAGTAGCAATTATCAGGAATTCAATATGAAACTCAATTTTCAAAGTAAAGGTGTGTGGGAAACCCACTTTTTTACATCAGTCTTAGCAGAAGTCAATGATGCTGTAGTAATTAAACTTCTTTGCACCTGTATTTGCAGTTCTTGCAGGAGAAGTGACAACACAATGAAGGTTCTCCCATTCTTTTCTGATTCTGTATGAAACATCTCACATTTTGATGTCTGCTTCTTACTGAAAAATCCGGAGGCTGCCAAACCCCAGAGTAACCAGAAACATATGCTTATCAGTGAGGGCAAGGAATACATGACATTTCCTGCGCATTTATATAGGCACCACTCCACCACATCATGAGGGGTCGTAGTAATTGGTGAGAGCATATGTAAATATCATAAGCTCTAACTTTTCAGATGAGTTTAGTGAAACACAATTAAATAAAATTCTTTATGGAAATGTGTGGAGGATAGAGAAATATGACAAAATAATAGCTCAAGTTCCACTTTATTTTTTTTTAAAAAAAATCAGAATATATCAGGTAAAGGGTAAACAAAAGTTTATGTTTGACTTTATTATCTTAGCAGATATGTTATATTAGCATCAGTTGGAGACTATCTGTTCTAAAATGCACACACATTAAAGTACAAGTTAAACATGGATTGCTGCTGACTTCCTGTTCCCAGCTCTCAATATTTGTGTAAATACAGGTTCTATTTTACTTCCTTACCAATAGAGGTCAAAGCTTGTACTTAATGAATTCCTGGTTCATGCAATGTATTTGCTCTTCATGCTGTATCTGGTAACAAAATCTATCTGATTATTAAATTAACAGAGCTGTGATATAACAAGAAGCAAATAATTTTATTTTTTCCAAGTCCGGTTTGAATATTAATTACAAACTACAGATTTAGCTCAGTTGTGTGGCATTTTTGAGTACAGCAATTAAGAAAACTTAGGATGTTTCAAATAACTTACTGAACTGATTTCTAACCAAGCTAGAAATGTTTAAGCCACAGCTGCTTTCATGTGTAATGCTTTCCATTCATTTTCTGTATAGTATGGAGTCAAAGTGCATGCTGCCCAGGAGAACAGCTGATGTATAATTCAGGATACTCCCTGAATTTCCCTTAGAAAAGGAATACTGATTAGTTATTAAAGCCTAAAGGCCAAAAAAAAAACAACCCACCCCTGACCAGTGCTTTCACAAATTTTTGCCCATCATATAAATGTTCTCCATGTTAATGTAACTCAGAAGAAAAATATAGGTTAGGAATTTAAAAAGTAAAATAATAAAGCAAAATGGTTTCAACATTTTCTATTTGGGAAAAAAAAAAGGAGCACTCCAAGTCTGGATTTAGTTTAGCATAAAGTCTAATCTGTCTCTAGACTTTATATGAGGTCATCATGAATTTTTTTCCCTCTACTAGAAGCAAATGAAAATGAGGGAATCAGTCTTTCTCTGCAGATTCTTTAATCACTAGAATGTA